AGCTAGTAGATGGATAGCAGACGACAATGCTGTCCCTTGGGATCTTGAATTGGACATGAAGTTCAGGGAAGCCGAACTGAGAGAGTTGGAGCCAACTGTTCAGAAACATGATGACTGTTTGGGCATAGAGTGAAAAATATTTTGCAGGGCAATGTATGTTTGATCTGGATTCATTATTAAAAAAACGTTTCAGACTTTAATAAATACCACTTAAAACACTACTACCTGCAGAGCCCCAGGTTAGTAATTTGTATAGCAGGTACCTTCTCACTTCATTCTGATTTTACTTGTTGCATGCTTTTTTCAGCTCAGGAACTCAGAAAGCATAGAAGACAGAGCCATCAGGTGTGCAATAGCAACCCCTGGACTCCTCTCACTACAATGTTGCTTTAAATGCAGCCCTTGACCCTCTCTAAGGCCCCGTTCACACCTGACCCGTTTTGTAGCGCGTCCTACGCCCGACGGACGCTCTACAAAACGGTCAAAAATATAAATTGCATTGTAGTCAATGCCCTCGTTCCCACCTAGGCGTATTTCCACCCGTCCCTAACGCCCTACAAAACGGCCCACGCCTGAAAAGGTCCCGGGACTACTTTGGGCCGTTTTGTAGGGCGTTTTCCATTGGGATAAGCCAAGTAGCCTTTGGGGTCGCGCGACTTACCGCGAATCGCGGTAAAAAAACGCGCGACAGACGCGCATATTACAATACGCCTAGGTGTGAACCCAGGGTAAGTCTAATTATGGGTGTGATCGGCAGATGTTTTCTAAGCAGTACAATAGGTTTTCCACAAATGCAGTGCCTCAGTGACCACCAACTATTCTCTCCTGGGCCCCCACACAACACATGATCATAGGCACTAAATCAATTGTAAGGTGGCATTCTTTGCAGTGTACACAGACTGTCCCTGAACACCAATCTTTTTCTTTAAAATCTGCACAGAAATGCTTGAGCACCTTAAAGTCTATTTCCACTTTTGCAGCCAAACTGGGATAACACCTTCTTTATATTCCTTACATATTGCCATTCACAAAGCATAACTTTAATTAAAAGAAATAAAAAAAATTGTTCTTTACCTCTTTACTTGCCAAGTAATCTTAGTTAGCTTTCCTCTGCTATGTAATGTTAAGTAGGGGGCAAGGAAGTAAGGTTTACCGTAATTAACCCTGTGCATCCTAAAAATTAAATTGAAAAGACTCCTCTACATGTTTGTTATGCATTTCCAAAAACAATTTTCTTATCTTTTAGATATGTCTTTGGTAAAAGGCCTTTATGCAGATTCCAGGCTACTCTGAGCAGTTTGAAAGTGAAAGTAGAGGGTCAAACTGAAGGGCTGCACTTCCTCCCATCAAGATAGAGTGCTTCCAAATCTTTAACCCTTTGTTGTGACAATGTGCGTTTACATTTAGTTTACAACTGATAACTTACTAAAGCTCCCTTCTCAATGTTACACAAGGGGTGGGGGGTGAAGAGGCTAGGTAGGAATTTAAAGCAAGTAGAAAGCACTTACAAATTTAAGAAGCAAAATGTTAAATATATTTAAGAAACGCTATGTGAATGAGAAAATCAAATATAACGTAGATGTTATCCCAATTTGGCTGCAAACATGAAAGTACACTTACAGGTTCACACACATTGTGGGGAAGAAGGGGGAGCGCTAAGGGAGAAAAGGATTTTCTAGTCAAAGCAGAACAACATTTTTTGGAGTATTGTAGAACACAGAAAACCAAAGTATACTATCCTTTAATTTTAATGTACATAAAATATGTACCAAAATCTCCGCTTCGTGTATTTTAAAAGCCACAAAAAATAAAATGCTAGCCATACACTTTCCCAATTTCGGCCGAGTCCTACGGACTTGGTCAAAATATGAGCAACATTTCTCTGTCGGCACACCTCCATTCAACAAAAGATTTTTCCATTGACTTTTGCTGATTGAGAAACTTGAGGGAGCAATTTCCAAAATTCAATCCAATCAGCTGCAGTCACTTTTCAAGTATTCTGACGGCGGCACACCTGGCGAGGAGAGATTCCCACACATTACGCAGGCTGAATAAGAAAATTAGAGAGCCCTGCATCCTCTATTGTACTCCAAGAAATTAATTTTACTGGCAAGTCAAAAATCCAAAACCTCTTCATCCTATAGTACAGCACATAGGCGGCAGATTCAGAGATGTGGAAAAACAGAAAAGCCCAACTCAGAGCAGCCTGTAGCACCCTTATGCTCTAAACTAGAATAAGCAGTTCTGAATGTCTACCTGGGGGGAAAAAAGAAAAGCGTGAACAGGTGGCGGCTTTACAAATGCTTGATGCCAAAAAGCCTCAAGAGGCGCTGACAGACCTAGTAGAGTATGCCTTTACAGTGACCTGTCTAATCCATAGAGAAATAGTGGAATAAGACACGGGAGCTCCCTGTGAGGTCCTCCAGCTGTAGCCGAGAGATAAACTGAGACAGCCCAAGCCACAGCTAAGCAGTGGAGGGGAACCTCCTACTGGGATGTTACATAGTATTTGAGGTTGAATAAAGACACATGTCCATCAAGTGTATAGATCCCCGAGTCATATCGTTATTAGGAGTACTTGTACCCCTGTATATTACCGTTTCTCAGGAAATCGTCCAAAAGCTTCTTGAACTATTCCACACTATTAGCTGAAATCACTGCTTGTGGCAACGAGTTCCAGACCCTAACTGCTCGAACTGAGAAGAACCCCCTTCGCCCCTTGTGTTTGAATTTTTTTTCTACCAGTTTCAGGTGGTGGCCTCTAGTCTTTGTTACGGAATTAATCGTAAAGAGTTTGTTGCTAATGTCGCTATGACTATAGAACATTTTGTACATGAAATATTGGTAAAATGTTTTTTGTTTTTTTTTTACTATCTATGGCAATATGTCTTTCACACTCTATTTTAGCCGTCCGTATTGCTAGTTTGCATCTTTTATTGCGTTCTTTATAGTTGTGGAACGCCAATGCCGTCCCCTCTATCTTATATTTTATGAAAGCCATTCGCTTTTCCTTTATGTGATGCTTTACATTTTTATTCAGCCATACAGGTTTTGTTTGTGATCTTTTACTTTTATTACCCAACGGTATACATTTGGCAATGGCAATATGTAATGTGTTTTTAAAACATTCCCACTTTTGGTCCGTGTTTAGATTTTGAAATACATTTTCCCATTTGATGTCCCCCACTAGGTGGCACAGTCTATCAAAGTTAGTCCTTCTGAAATTAAGGGTTTTTGTCCTACCAGCCCTCTTGCTTTTCCTGTATTCAATATTGAAAGTGATCACGTTGTGGTCACTATTGCCCAGAGTCTACCCAATAACAATATCCTCAATTAACTGCATTAGTAATGATTAAATCTAGGATGGCATTTTTTCTAGTTGGGACCTCCACCATCTGGTCCATGAAGTTGTCTCTCAACATGTTCAAAAATCGGCCCTCCTTGGTTGAACTTGAGGTTCCATTAGCCCAATTTATATCCGGGTAATTGAAGTCGCCAATCACGACTACATTGCCCTCCCTCCCCGCAGTTTTCTATTTCGGACTGAAGATGAGCCTCCCCCTCCTCCCCAATACTAGGAGGTTTATAACAAATACCCACAATAAGTTTCCGACTATCTTCCCTGGTATCCATTTCTAGCCATAAGGATTCCACGTCCTCCCTACTGTTTGATGTGATATCATCCCTTATATGCGTATTTAGATTATTTTTAACATAAATGCATACTCCCCCCCCCTTCTCCCACCTCTGTCCCTCCTGAACAGGTTGTACCCCTCTATATTGGTGGCCCAATCATGTGTGTTGTCTAGCCAGGTTTCCGCTATTCCTACTATATCGAAGTCCTCCTCGAGCATCATAAGTTCAAGCTCTTCTAATTTATTGGCCAGACTTCTCGCGTTCGTGTACATACATTTAATTCCTGTCTTATGGGACAAAGGTTTACTTGATAGTGGTTGGCCAGGCTTAATTATATTATTTATGGCTATCGGATTTACTATATTCACTGCTTTTGCACTAATGACTGGAGTGAGCCCACTAATTACCCCTTTAATAATTTCCTCTTTATTATTTGAATTTATTATAGGGTTTTTATTACTTAAATTTAATATTTTTATGCCCTCCCCCCATTATCTAGTTTAAAAGCTCCTCCAGTCTTTCTACCATTTTTCCCCCCAGGAATGCTGCACCTTTCCCATTAAGATGCAGCCCGTCTCGGCTGAAGAGCCGATAGCCGACTGCGAAGTCAGCCCAGTTCTCCAGGAAACCAAATCCTTCCTTCTGACACCAGCTCCGGAGCCACTTGTTAAGCTCCCTCAACTCGCGCTGTCTGTCCGGAGTGGCTCTTGCATGTTTAGGAGTAAGACAAAAGGAAGAAAGGACAATGTCCTTATTAAGATTAAATGAGGACACTACCTTAGGCAAAAAGGAATCCCTAGGTCTGAGAAAAGTCCTCGTGAAAAACCAGGAGTGGTTCCTTAGATAGTGCTGTCAGCTCAGAAACTCTCCCAGCAGAGGTGACTGGTGACAATAAAAAACACTTTGCACATAGGATTCAGATGAGAGATATCACAGATATTTAAAAGAGGTTTAAAAGGGTGCTTGTTGGAGAAATTAAAGTAACGAATTGAGATCCCACAGCGTCACTGGTGTGTGTCTAGGAGGAGCCACAAGTGACCCCCTGCACTAAGGCCTTTAATAAGAAATAAGAGGCCAAAAGTGCTAGAAAAAGATGGCCAAGGCTGTATTTGTCCATTCAGAGTACTCAAGACGAGATGCTGGTCCATTCCCAATTAAAGAAAAGCCTAAATCAAGGCCAAACTCTATTCCACTAGGTACTGCCGAGGATGACATTTCCACTGCTGGCTCCAGAAAACAGCCCTGCCAAGTGATGGTACAACTTACAAGAGGTAGACGTCCTGGCTTGCAAGAGCATAGGAATACCTGACTTGGAAAGACCTCTATCCCTCAGGACTTGGCCTTTAACAGTTAAGCCCTTAAAGCCAGTGAATGAGAAGCAGGATGAAACACTGTACCTTGAGCCAGAGGTTCTGAACAGTCTAGAACTGGCCATGATGGGTATGCCAGCATCCAAAGGATATCCGCATACCACATTCTTCTGGGCCAGTATGGTGCCACAAGGATCATTGGGATGCCCTCCACCTAGATCTTGAGAAGCAGAGAAGCATGAGATAGCCGTATCTACCCCCAGCACTATCCACTTTTTGAGGCAAGTTTTCTCAAAGGGGTACTTCTGTGCAATCATTCTGGAGGAGCGAATACTTTTTCAAGTTGCTGCTAATTTGCATAGAACATCTCCTCTACTAGGGAGTATGTCAAGAGGGTCTTAATTGAATTAATGAGTAGATTTACCCGCTCTTTCCGTCCAAGTGACCTCTGTCACGGAGATGGAAATTAAATTTTAGAGTTTCTCCACAAGAGGTAAGAGTAAATTGTGCAGTAAAGGAACCTATTGCGATTACTGTGGACAGATGTCAGAGGAATTCTTTCCTCCCAGAGATTTCCTCCAACTTCCTGCTGTATCTCTGGGACAGGAAGTAAAAAAAAAAAAATCTCTACAGCAGGACACAGACAGCAAAAAAAAAAAAAAAATTGGCATGCCAATCCAAAAATGTTTTTATTGGCTCTCAAGCAACATAATACCAGCAAACGTAAGATCTATTTGTTCATCCATTTTAATGAATCTCTCCATGCCTGGTTAAAATTCCCTGAGCCCTGATAAAAGGGGATGTGCTGTGAGCCCCCAAATTGTGTTGGCTGCATATAAAAGCATTTCGGACTAAATCCTTTTGGCTTGGTGCTCCTACTGTATTTTTAAACAAACCGACAGGGGTTTTCCCTAATCTTTTCAGCACAAAATAATGGAAAAAAAAAGTGGATATTACATACACCAAGAGTGGAGGAGAGGTTCACTTTTAGATATACAAGTTGACAAAACACAGTTATTTTTTTCAATGAATCAAGTAGAATGGAAAATAAAGGTCTACTATTAAATAGGCAGGGGTATCACTTACCTCTGACTAAGCTCTTCCAGATATCGGCCGCTCAGAGACATGTTAACTTCAAGAGCTTTAATGCGATTATTGAGGCGCATGAAGACAGACTCCTTCTGATTGGAACCATGCACTTGATTTCCATTTGTATAGCCCAGATCAGTGGCGTTCTGTAATTCGGCATAAAAATCTGTAGTGATTCTGTGCAGGCTCCCATTAATAGAGACATCCTCTGTCACCTGTTCATCCTCCTTTTTGTCTATAGTAGGTGGGCTCTCAACAGGCTGAGTCAATGCAGGCTTTGGTGTTTCTTTTACTTCGGAATCACTTTCTACAGGTACAGTATCTTCCTGTACTGGCAGGCTTTCTGTTGGTTTAATAATGTTGGAGTAATCGGCATTCTCTTTCACTGAGCCATCATGTGCATCTGGTAAAATACTAAACTCCAGGTTTACAGTTGGTTTTTCAACATAAATCAAAGTCTCGCTGGTTTTCACCTCCTTTGTTTGTTCTGGTTCAGCCTCTGGTGAAAGAGGGCTAAAATGTGGACTGTGCATAGTTACCTCTGGAAGGGATTCAGTTGATAACAATGCATCACCTGCGGTCACGTGTCCAGCAACAGACTGAAATATGGTTTGAGTATGACTAGGTTCCAAGGTGACCTTATTTAAAGTATCAGTTTGTAAATCTTCTCCTGGATTTACCAAAATAAAATCTGTTGTGGCCATTTCATCGTTTTTGCTCTCAGATGGTTCGTCTGAGGCCTGAGCAGCAGCTGGACTTACCAAAGTTTGCTGAGTAGACTGAGAGTCATTTTCCTCCCTGCGCTTAAATTCAGAGGTTTTACTACGCTGCCTGTGAATGGCCACAATTGCTGAACACCACTTATAAATATATTCAGAAAAACTGGAGATACAGCAGATAGTTGCTAGTTCACCACAATAAATCTGTGTCTCAAATTCAAACCAGGACTCTTTTTCTTCCTCCTGATCATCGGTGCCCAAGAGAGTCACAGTTGACTCACTAGGCTGTTCCTCTTCCTCTTCTTGCACCAGCTGGACAATGGGATTTTCTTTAGGAATCTCAGGCTCAGGAACAGATACTGTAGGGGGTGCAACGCTATCCGTTTCTATCCTGTAAAAGTAAACTTCAAATGAATAACGCTGTAAACTTTTCAGATTTTATCGCAAACAAAAATGTATGCACTACTGTAACCCTAAATCAGCAATATATAATAATCAGTCCCTGGTTATAATTACAATATAAAAATGTAAAATATTTGCTGCAAAAATCCATTTGGCAATATATATTTATAAAAAATGTCCTTTTTATTACATTCTGCAGCCGCTATAATATTCCATAACTGCCCTCTGACCAGCAGTGCCGAGGGAGCATGGAGCCGGCTTCCTTTGCAATCAGGAAGCCGGGCGGTGGGTTCTGTCCCGGCTTCTTGATTGGTTAGGAAGCCAGGCTGCCTAGCAACAAGTAAAGCCAGCTTCCAAGCCAATCAGAAAGCCAAATCAGAAAGCACCTAATGACCCGCCTCCCTGATTGGTCAGGAAGCCAGGCTGCCTAGGAACAAGTGAAGCTGACTTCCTAGCCAACCAGGAAGCCAGGACATGATGTGCCGCCCCGCTTGCTGATCGGCAAGGAAGCTGGCTTCACTTGTTGTTAGGCAGCCTAGCATCCTTACCAATCAGGAAGCTGCGCAGCACGTCATGACTCGCGCCTCGGCCTGCTGATTGGCTAGGAAGCCAGTTAGGCAGCCTGGTTTCCTGACCAATCAGGAAACCGGACGGCAGCTCATGACTCACCGCCTGGCTTCCCGATCGGTCAAGAAGCCAGGCAGCCTCAGCAAGTGAAGCCAGTGTTTTTTTTCTAGAACACCGGCTTCACAGGCAATCAGGAACCAGGGGGACTAGTTATGAACCGCCTCCCAACTTCCTGATAAAATCGGGGCACGCGGCATTGGTATCAGCGAGTATCGGGAAAAAAAAAACTAAAATCGGTACTCGTACACGATACCGAAAAAATGGTATCGGTGCATCACTGCTTTTAACGCTCAGTGAGACGTAAAAGGGATACAGAGTTTGCGTCTGTTTTGGTAATAGTGAAGGCTGATCTTAGTTACCGTGATAAAGTGCACTAGTAAGGCAAACCATGTTTTTACAACAGAGAAAGGCAAGAGTCCTCAATAAAATGATATAGATCTATATCAGTATGCTGCACAAATGAGATTTTCCCAATTCCTGGATATGCACAGCACGTTTACTGCCAAACCCAAAAACCACAATAAATTAGCTGCCAGTCCATGTGTCTCAAAGCATTTCTCAAAGACAGAATGAAACAGCATTTTAAAAGAGCTTTCCCAGCATCTGTTGGCACTGAATACTGGTTTGCAGACCATATGCTTGTTATGTACACAGCACCATCTAGTGAATGAATTAAATACATGCAACCTCCTCATTTTGGATGAGATACAGAGAAGACAGGCTTCCTATATTTTGTATAGCACAGGCCTGACAGCGATGACATAGAAAGGAGTAAAAGGTAGAGACAGTAAAATGCTTGATTTATGATCTCCTGAACAGCTCAGTGACTCAGTTTTCACTTACAAAGGTTGGAAGTTTCAAAGAAACTGTCAAGGAATTGTCTTAACAGTTTAGATTGAGTGTGTCATAGAGATCTTCTTTAAACAACTTTTCTGGTCATGACAATGATCTATCATTGGTTCCAGGTTACCCATTTGCAAAAAAAAAAAATGTGTATACCAATTGTCATATTTCAGGGGTGTGGAAATGTAAAAAAAAAAAAAACTACTTGTCCAAGGACTAAAGCAGGGGCCCAATCTACTTGTCCCTCTTGACAATCTACTTCTTGAGATACAATTTTTTAACCAAAACCATATTTAACCGTGCTTAGAAATTAAAAATACATAGTGCTGGGCTGCACTGGATGGAAGTAGGGGGTACAGATAGTACATCCGTACCGGTGGAGGGGGAAGGAGAGTTTGCCGAAAGGCAAGTATAGCAGGGGTGGGGAGAGGGGGTCAGATTTGAGCAGGTAATTCCAATTTCCCAACTAACTTGGGAAAGTGAACTTACCCTTTAATGCAGTGTGTGTGTGTGTGTGTGTGTGTGTGTGTGTGTGTGTGTGTGATGGGGTCAGCACTCCGGGTATAAAGGCACACACAATGCCCTACGTGTGCGTTTATTAGCATGCAGATGGTGGGAGAGGCAGCAGTGTTTTGTTTTTTTAAAATTCTTAACTTTTGTAATTTTAATTTTTTCACTTAACTTTATTGCTATCACACAGGGGATAACAAGCTCCTACGTGATAGTGTTTGGAAGCGACAGGCTCTCTTTATGGAGCCTGCCCTACAGAAGATAGAGCACAGCACTGTGCAGGCTGGCGGTGGATTTTTAAATTTTTTCAGATGCACAGAAGAAGAAATGGCTTACAATAACTAAAGCCACAGGTAACTTGTGCCTGCACTAAGGGAGATCTTCTAGTTTTTAAACACTTACATAGCTCACAGGGTAACTTAATATAAAAAGTTAACCCTTGCAGTGGGGCTACCCATGTCATTTGGCCTATCGTTTTTCTTTAGGATCAAATATCCTATACAGGGGATCAAATATGCTCTCCTACATAGGCTGATCAAATATCCTAGATAGGGGATCAAATATAAAATCTGCCCTCCTAGATTGGCTGATCGAATATCCTAGATAGGGGACCAAATATCAAATATACTCTCCTAGATAGGCTGAACAAATATACTATATAGGGGATCAAATATGCTCTCCTAGATAGGCTGATTTGAAAAGCACTAAAGCACAAAAGCACTGCTAAATTAAAGAAAAAATAAAAACAATAGGATTCACCAAAATGCCAGTTTGCTTACATTTTCATGGCATTTAAGCACATAATTGCTAGGGCCTGGTTAAAAAAAATTGCCATCCTATATGAAGAGTTTAAATCCTGAATCAAACATTGTACAGGTGAAACTCGAATAATTAGAATATCGTGCAAAAGTTCATTTATTTCACTAAATGCAACTTAAAAGGTGAAACTAATATACAAGATAGTTCAAGCCGTGATTTGCCATAATTGTGATGATTATGGCTTACAGCTCATGAAAACCCCAAATCCACAATCTCAGATGGGGATCTCTATGGGGATGCTGACTTCATTTTCCAGCAGGACTTGGCACCTGGTTCATGTTTTGCATGTAATATTCTAATTTTCGGAGATTGTGGATTTGGGGTTTTCATGAGCTGCAAGCCATAATCATCACAATTATGACAAATCACAATTATGACAAATCACGGCTTGAATTATCTTGCTTTGCATGTAATGAGTCCATCTCATATATTAGTTTCACCTTTTAATTAGTGAAATAAATGAACTTTTGCATGATATTCTAATTATTCGAGTTTCACCTGTATGCATCAGGCAATAAGAATCCCGAACCTCTACCAAAGCCCCTCCTAGATCCCCCCACACTGCATATAGAAAATCAGTCAGCCTATATGAATGGAGAAAAATAGGTCACTCTGCCGTCATCATGTACACCGCACTGAACATGGACCAGAGAAAGCAAAGGAGGAGATCAAAAAGAAAAGAACACTGTACCTACTTTAAAACATGGAGAAGGCTTGGTTATCTTTTGGTGGCTTTGATGCGTCTCGCACAATGAGCCTTAAATCTGTGCATAGCACAAAGAAATCCCAAGACTACCAAGGAATTCTGGAGCCAAACGTATTCCGCGGTATCAAAAAGCATAGTCTCCATCACAGATCATGGATCCTCCAACAGGATAATGACCCAAAACACACAGCTAAACAAACCCAAGAATGGCTAAGAATTAATTACTGGACTACTCTGAAGTGGCTGTGTATGATTCCTGATCTGTATTCTATGGAACATCTATGGAAAGAGAGGAAGAATGCAGTCTGGAGAAAAAAGATAGCAGGAGCAGTTCTACCCACTCTTCTTAAGCAAACTATGTTGCCAGGTATATAGGTCTCATTAAGATCTACAAAAATAACTTGTTTGCAGCGATTGCCTCCCAGAGCTGTGCAACAAAATAATAGGTTAAAGGAGAACCATGAGGTGAGTGCTTTTCACTCACCTCATAGTGCTAGCCGACCTGTGACACTGAGACTGTCACAGGTCGGCTCAGTAGATCGGGAGGTGAGCGAACACATACCCGCATTCGCTCACCTCACAAGCAGCAGCTCGCTGTATACTGCGCCGTCTCAGTATACCGCGAGCTACAGCTCGCGGTATACTGAGCCTAGTGTGACGGGAGGACGCTAATTTGTGTCCTCCCGTTACCCTGAGAACTATGGGGAAAAGCCTTAACCCCATAGTTCTCCTTTAAGAACCCCATTATTTTCATCCATGCCATTTTCATTCATTCATTTTATTTAAAATATTCAGTTGAATCAAAAATCAAAAGCAAAGTCTTATTTTTATGAAGTAAAGACTAAACAATGGATGCCAATTAAATTTGTAAGTTTTAAATTACTTCTGAGAAAATTCTGGGTTCTTTATTTGTTGAAGGATACCAACAAATACTGTATGTCCATGGTTGTAAATACACAGTGGAAATAACAACATGAACTGTTTTATTTGCCACATATTTGTAAATGAAACAACCCCCAAAAGCACTGTACAGCAAAAGTATTACCCCACTTTAATTCCATTGCAATAAAACTTTTACTCTAACAAAATTCCAAACACACCCCAGCTCTGTGAGAAACTTGATTATACCCAATATTGTTACTTAAAATAAAACCTGTTCTTGGTAAACTCCTCTTAAGAGAATGCCATTTCTAGTACAGACTTTTGGTGTTGCATAAAACAGCTCCTCAATTAGCGTGCCTATAAGCACCGCATGTAACCGAATGCAAATGCATAATTAAATAAAGACCATGGTACATGGCAGTTGACCTGAACACGCAATGTTAACATCACACTCACGTAGCTAATGTAGGTGGCGCTTGCTCAGTGGTCTTTTCTGGACTGCCTTCCACGGTCTCTGCAGTCACATTTTTAGGGGTGCTTCCATTCAAAACTAAAAAAAGAGACAATCTGTATTAATTAAGATGTACTTCACTGCCTTAGTATAGATTGTAACCATACATGTCTCTTAGTCATAACCACTCTTAAAAGAACTACAGAAAGCAACATAGCAAAAGACGTAATGGTGTTAAAATAAACCTGTGCAACGTCTGAGATCCCATAAACTAGGAGCTGCTGGTAGCAGACAGAGATCTCACCCCCATTTACAAAAATGTGTTGTTCATAGCACCTTCCATCATTTTCCTGAAGTTCCCATGTGGCAATCCCAAGCCTGGTAAAAGGTCAGTTACATCTTTTGGCATTGGGCATTGCATTATAGGAGGTGGCCAAGAGTATCTTCTTCACAACCAGGAAGAGGAGAAATATAAGCAAGTTCTCTGGGTGGTGATGAATTGGGCACTAAACTGCAAAAAACAGCTCATAGTTTATAGGATTAGAGTACCTACTCTTAGGGACAGCTTTAACCTGTATATATTGGATACCTCTAAAAGGCTTAAAGTCACTCAAGTACACCCCATGAAAACTACTGACTTTCATATTATTTGAACAAGCAATCATTAAGAGGGTTATTCACAAAAGGGTGAAGAATTAGGAGAAGACAGGAGAAGTGAACAATCTCGGACAACATACTGTAGCTGAACTGGAAAGTGATCTGAATTGGAGAATTCGGTCTAGATTGTTCACTTCTCCTGCCTTCTCCATACTCTTCACCCTTTAGTGAATAGCCCTGTATATCTTTATTCGAGCAGCCTCTACATATAAAGAGTTATATAATTGAATAAGAACACAAGAAAAATTAGCCTTTCCAATCATTTATTCAACAAAAATGCCAATAGATGTAATGGTATACCGCAGAAAAAGAGATGACATTTGGTAGGCATTTTATATAACTGCTCACCAGTCTCTGACATGGATTTAAACAGCTCCTTACAAAATTGCAATAGGAATCAAAACAGGGCTTTGATTAGGGCAGTCCATAGCCCTCTTTTTTTCCCCTTTGAGCCATTCCTTGGTGAATTTGTTAGTGTGCTTCACATTATCACGTTGAAAACAAATGTCCGGTTTAAAGTCAACTTTTGGATAAAAAGAAATACATTCTCATCAAGCACACCGATATAATGCAGAATGTATAACCGACTTGATAACTGCAAGCAGCCCGCAAACCATAACATTTCCACCACGTTTCACAGTTGATATGACGTTCTACTCCACATACCGTCTACGGTTACACTTTTCAGCACATTGTTCCAGAAGGTCTGGTCGTTGCCTACAAGTTCAATAGCAAACTGTACAGTTCTTTTTGGACTGCAAAGGGATTTTCTTAGCCCACCTCTCATGCAGAGATTACAGATGGATGCACTTTGACCTCAACTGTTGCAAGAGTTACCACAACGCCTGCAATGAAACTGTGGGGTTCGTTAGGCCTTCTTTTAGCTACAGTCAGCATGGGCTAGCCAGACCTGGACAAATTAGCAGTTGTTTGAAATCTATGCCATTTTTACAATATTTTCCTTACAGTGAAGCTTTTGATATGAAACCATTTGCCAATGTTTTTAAATCTAGTCAGACAGATTCTGCATACTCCTTACTTAAGGAGGTTGTAATCATGTGCATTTAACCTGGAACACCTAGTTCTAATTTCATTGATTTTAAGTGGTGGGGTATACTTACTTTTGCCATATGATAAATCTGCATTTTTTTGTTCATATCACCTTTATCTGTAGGCATTATCTGAATATGCAATGTTTGCCTGTTCAAATATGATGAAAAACTAAATAGTTTCTATGGGGTATAATTATTTTCTCATATGACTATATGTACATGGGTGCCGAAACAGATCAATGTGACTGTACTCTATACAGTCAAAGTGTGCAGTCTTCCCTGAACGGCCACAAGGATCGCAGAAACCTAAAAGCAGATAAACTGTAGTGAAATGGGCATTTTAAGTCTTTATGACTTGCAATGCATTGCATAAAATGACGTCCACTACAGATGTAACACACACAAGGTTCACAGACACAGACATTGGCTGCACTGAATGCAGATAGAAGCAGATAGGACACTATTTCAGCACCTGTGCACATAATCCCTAAATATGGTCTCACCATTGTCTAGGCAGACTTTAATAACAAAGATTGTTAGCTATGCAATTTAAAGAAAAACTGTAGGTAATGTTGCTCCTTTTTAAAACATTTGATAAAGTGTCCTGTACATCATAGTAACCCTAATAATTTAGACCTGTATATCTATTTTTTTTCTTATTGACCTGGCTTGTTCATAGGATGATCTGGCAGAAGGCATTCAACTTTAAATTACCATGAAGTCCACATATCATATTTAGGTGCTCCCTGAAGGCAATTTAGAAGCAGTGATGCTCCATGTCAGTGAATTATTTCTTTAAAGTATCCTACTAAGGCTGCTCTTCAGCACTGCACACAGATCTGGTGGCTGCCTGATTTCGGAGCCTGTTCAGTAAATCAGTATCTAGGAAAGATTCTGCAACAAAGATACCCACAGAACTCAAAGGGAATCAGTGTCACAGGACACTCTCCAGAAAAAAAGTCCAACAGAGCGTGACTGCTTTCTGAAGAGATCGAGATGGCACACGACCCTAGGTTATTACTGCAAGTCAAGGCGATGCAATGGTGAATTAGCATCTCAAATATATGCGCGCCAGGAGGACTAAACAATCTGCCTAAAGTAGTGTTTTTATACGCGAGAAAGGTTTGTAGAAATGGCGTGTGTTCATTGTTAACTTAAATGGTTTCTTGCGGCATTCATCAGTCAAGCTGCTGACAAACACCATTTGACTTATGGCAGCTATACATACAACGCACATGGTTGGCAGACAAAATGTATTTGGGCAATGCAGCAAACAAGCTTCTTTGCAAATCACTCAGCTAAGCCCCACTAGCTTTTCTATTACATGTTACCTGACCTTTAAGAGGTGCCAGAGATCCACTGGAGACGATGTACTCACCATTCTGTTAAAATACATATTCACAGGGAGGTAGGCCAATACCTTTGTTAGAACACTAAAGCTTTAAAAAGAGTTACATAAAAATCTCACTGTAAACAAGCTATCAATATGCTTTCATATATGTCTTACTTTGAAACAGTGTTTTAACTTAAGTACAAATGTAAAGCAGCTACCTTTCCCTTCAGAGTTCGCTTCCTCAGTATTCGCACCCAGCATGTTAGCAGCAAGATTATTCACCATGCTAAGAATGGCATCTGAAGAGAACGCAGGGAACACAAGCAAATGTTACTAGTCTGCAGTCATATCAATACGGTCACCAAGGGAAAATGTACACTAAGTCAGTACAGTAGATCATGTTGTGTGCTTTGTGTTTGACTTATGTTCCAGTTAAACAATGTGAACTGTATATACAAACATTCAGAGCTCTGGATTCAAAATACGGTTACTGCTTCACTGTGGTAACTTCTTCCGAGGTATATACATTCAGGAGAGGTATAATTGGTACAACTGTACGAAAAGGAGTTACCAAAAACGATAAGCTTTTTACAACCATCAAATGAGTCCTTGAATTAGCTTTTCCCAAAAAGACTTATTTACAGAACAGAGTATGTAAGTCAGAAGTCGTATCACTTTTTAAAAAAATGACAGCGCTTTAATACGGTCAATAATTATAGCTGGTCAGATGACATTCAGCAGTTAAGCTTGTAGCAACAATAAATATGCCCAAAACAGAACAAAAAAGGACAGCAGCAATGGTTTAAGCATTAAAGCAGTTTTTAGAGTATTGAATGTAGACAATTCAAAACAGCCTTCAAGCAGAAATGCCATGAGACTCTTGTGGCAGTCTTGTAGCTCAAGTTATAAAAAAAAGGACACACAGGTACTATTAATAGTGAATACTTGCTGCAAAATGGACAGGAAACTGCAGCTGTCACAGTGACCGCTGACCCCCAAGGAGAAGAATGCCTGCTCAGTCACATACATGGAACTATACAGAAAATGTGAAAAAGATACACGCATTATGCTGCGTGTAAATGAGCAGGAGGAGATATGACAGCTGCATCTCCGAGGCAGTTCAGGCTCTAATACTATAGATGTCTCTGTGGTCATCAGCTTTGAGAACAACACTACAAAATGTATTAACCCACAAACACCTTATCATACGGAGTAAGCATCAAATTGTATTTACTAATAATATCAAATTTATGGTTCAACCGTTAAGTAGCTTCCATTTGCTTTCCAAAAAGAGAAGAAAAAGACCCGGCACAAGAATTGAACATTCAGGATCTGTTCCCAATATCCTGCATACAGTTTAGATCACAACAGGAGACAGGAAGATCCCTTCTTTCTGACATGCGAGCTGACATGCGACACTGCAGCTGTCGCATGACAGCTCTATTGATCGTGAACTTCACATAGTGCTGAACGCTCAGTACCCAATCATCTCTCTGCAGAGAGCTTTGTCAGTCAGTCATCGAGTCAATCAGGTGGCGGGGTGGATCCGACAATATTGTCTGGATATATCCCGGCTTTAGCGCGGCTCTGCAATAGTCTGCTATATGCGGGCAATAGTCTGCTATATGCAGAGTTTTGGGTCACAGGTGAACATGAGTAAATGTCCTCCTTTGAGCCTAAAAAGAGTACAGACAAAAAAAAAAAGTCGGCCCATAGTTCTCTAAATTTCTCCACATTGCCTATAAATACAGAGCCACCAAAATCACTGCTATTTTCTATGGAGAGTAGAACTCTGCCAGCATTCCAGCCCTCATGTAAACAACCAGTTGGTGTTTCCGCTCGCTTAGACATGGACTAAAACCTGACTTCCTAGCCTGTTATCCTCAAGATCTTTGAGAATGAATTGCTTTACAGTACCAGCATTTAGAGAGGTCAGTGATGGTTTGTTTAAAATCTCTTAATGCATATTAAGAACATGTAAATTCTTTGATAACCATAGTCTGGGTACAGGTGCCATTTTAATGCCTTTTAAACCCTGAGGGTTCCAAGAACACAGATTCTAGATAACACACTGCTATTCTTTATTTAGAACATGGTCTGTGGCATTTTCTCTATGTATTCCTGCCAAATAAAGGGTGGGCAATCAAAATATTGTGTGGCAGTGACTCTCATCCAGGATATCCAAAAGTTTTACAAAGCTGCCAGCTTACTCACACCACTGGCATTCAGGCAAAGCTGATACATCACTTTTCAGCAAGCTTACCCTTTTTATGAAATTTTTTCCCCAAAATTATAATCGGGATGTCCACAGTATAAAAGAAGAACAAGACGTAATAGAAAACAAAAAAGAATGAAAATTTCCCCATCAGAAATGTATAAGGTCATCTGTAAAAGGAGGGGTATATGTCTTCGCACTGCCCCTCCTGTCACAGATGACGTTTTATAGAGCGAATTTTGAAAATGAAAATAGAAGTGGTTCCATGTATTCCATACACTTGTGCATACAATTATATGCAAAGATTCATTTGGAGAAGCATATTCATTTTTGAATGGCTAATCAAAAAGATTGATCACTCACTTGTAGCAGAACCAAGCAAGTTTTTTGAAGATTTGTCATCTCTCGCGGTGTAATCGATTGGATAATCTGTAGAGAGCAAACCAGGATTATAACTTTTTTTATTTTTAACAATGTACTGTATCTGTATGTAAAAGAGATTCTATCTCAGCATTTATTGACCAAACAAGCTAAATACTGGTTCAAGTAGGCACTTACCACCCAGCAGCACGGTGTGAAGGTGTGCCCTGCTGATTGAGCAATCACTAGGCTTTGGCCTTTAGCTAGGGCAATGGAGGAAGTTGCTGGGCATCATCACAAAGTGTGAGCACTTTCTAACGGTCAAATTAAGAAAGACAGTGTTCCTCCTCAGATTCCTCCTCATTGCGCTTATTATTATTTTTTTTTTGAAAGCCATTACGGTCAGATGAGGATAATGAAATTAGGTCACAGATGGTAATATACTTTACTATGAACTGGAATACACTTGGCCATTTGTGTCAGTCTGCATCAAAGCAATCTCTTTTCATTTTTGTATACATGTATGTGCAATAAAGAATAAGAAGATCTTTCTATAAAATATAACCTAGCTGTATGGCATACAGGCACAGAAATCTTAAGTCACTCTAGGTCTACAAGGTTTTGGCTTTAAAATGCAAAGAAAATTAAAAAAAAAAAACATATGGAAGAATAAAACACTTTATTCCCCAAGATGTGCCCAGTGATTTAAAAAAAAAAACTAGTGTTGCTGTAGAAACACAATACACAAATTATCCTTGTGATCTGTTCTATTTATCATGATACTAAGGGCACACATTATTGTTTGCATAACACACATAGTGTGCGTTGCGCACATGCTCTGTGATGAGCTTTTACAATGCATCGCCACACCTGCCTTTTTAATTCTTTTTTATAAACTTGAAATGAAACTACATGCACTTCAACATGCGGGCATCATCACAAAGTGCAAGTGTCATCTGTCAAATGAAGCAGTCCAGTAACTATGTGCGTCAGAGCTTTATGATGCATTATTATGCGTTATAATGCAACGTGTTGTGATAAAATGTTTGCCTGCATCATAGAGCTCATTGGTGTGAATAGACCCTATAAAAAGTAAGGCTTTTTGCCTTGCCTTTGGGTTGCATTGGTCAGCACTTTTTAACGCGGTCCCTATAGGGCTGGTGTGAACGCGCTCTAAAACTAGGTTGCTGGTATACTACATGGTGAATTTATTGATAAATAATAAATTAGTATTTTTAAAAAAATATAAAGCAAATGTAAAAATGAAATCAAATGTTTGTGTGATAATGGATAAAGCAAAACATCAACAAAAATAAAAACGGGGATAAGGTGAAAAAGGGCTAATTAGAGTCTAATTAAGGTTAATCAAGGGTTAAACAGGAAAATCTGTATCAAATCTTTTTTCCCCCATCATTTGAGATTACAGATTTCTGCAGCTTCTGTTAGGATGAGATAACATTATAAGCCTGTGATCTGCAATAATCAGGGCGGTACCAGAGTACCTTTGTTAGTGTTACACAATTACTAGCTTTTATAGTGTTCATTCAAAAGGAACTGCTCTTCCGCTCACACCAGGACTTCAGATGTCAGGTTGATAGAGAATGGGCATAACTTTATAAACATCCTGAAGGCTTAAGCAGTCTTTCAGGCTGCTTATAGAAACATGCTTTAACCTTGGAACATTGAACGTGAGTCGTTTTTTTTATATATAAAACATAGCTGGTCCATCAAGTTGTTGTGTGACATTGTAAGGCTGCTGAAGTCGGTTCGTTGTGAAACTGGGCAACCCTGTTCATTTTCTTGTGCAATGAATAGAAACATACTGAAATTCCAAGAATCTTGCTTTGTATTACTGTGCAAAATTGTGCAGTAACAATCCCTTTTACTTTGTACAAATGCCTGTTTAGCCATAACAATAGAGGCTAACTTTTTTTGTGAGTTATTGGACCATAATGAAGTAGACTTAAAGGAGTACTATGAGGTGAGTGAAAATCGCTCATCCTCATAGTTCGAGCCGACGTGTGACAATGAAACTGTCACGCGTCGGCTCAATAGATCGGGGAGTGAACACATAGCGTCGCTCGCTCACTTCTCGATCATCTCCCTGCAGAGAGCCGTGACTGTCAGTCACGGCTCCCTGCAGGGATTCCCCCCTCCCCGCTCTGAACCTCCAGCGCTGAGTGCAGGAACGGACGGAGGAGGGGGCGGGTACAGCTGGCTCTGCCTCTAGATAGGCAGAGCCAGCTGTCACTCACGCAGCTGGGTGGATCTCGACAGCATTGTCGGGATCCGTCCCAGCTGCGGCGGTCTCAGTATATATTGCGGTCTCGCAATATACTGAGCTTTAGGTCACGGGAGGACGCTAGTATATGTCCTCCTGTGACCCTTAAAAGAACTATGGGGAAAAACACTTACCCCATAGTTCTCTTTTAACACACATCTTGGTTGTGTATTGATGTATGTTGTGCCTTTTCAATCAAATGGCTTAGCTGAAGTTAGCGTGCTAGAACAGCTGAGAAAGCACTGAAATTTGTAGTGAGAATAATAAAAATTCTTGTCCATCTTTCAAAAAGTACCTAAGCAGTTAGTGTCCACCAACCATTGGTACCAGTGGCTGGTGATCACTCTTCCCAGAAAACTGTTCTTTCCTTTGTCAAGTATTGGTAGTTTTTTCCCATACATTGCTGGCCAGTTAGTCAGAAAGCTCTTGGCAGTATTAGTGGAGACAGAAATCAGCATATAAGTGGAGAAAGAGCCACATCCTAGGGTCCCCTCTAAGCTCCATTTCAATGCCCAAGTGCCAAACCATTAATACGGTAGAATCCAAGATGCAGATGCCTAGCACACAATAGGGCTACGAGAACCAAACACCCTTTTTAATGACACTCTTTACTTTATCATATATAATAACATATGTAACATTTGTTTCAAAGTGTATCTTTTTCAATATAATTTTATTTTCATGATCAGCAGAGGATTCACTACCTTCATCTTCATCATAGATTTCTGGACGCTCCGAATGGTACTGTGGGTCCACAATTTCTTCATACTCTTCCACCATGCTGGTACCGAAAACTCTAAGAAAGAAGTTTAAACATGAAAACCCATTGTGTGCACTTGTGGGTTTTATATGAAGGGGAAACCGAGCAGATGCAATTAAAACTACTTTGATGCATCCTTCAAATCCTGCCCACTTTATGGTCATAAAAGCAAACATGCTAAAAGAAAACCTTAAGATAACTATGGGGTAAGTGTTTTTCCCCATAGTTCTCTTAAGGGTCACAGGAGGACATATACTAGCGTCCTCCCGTGACCCAAAGCTCAGTATATCACGAGCTACAGCTCACGGTATACCGAGACTGCCGCTGGCGGGACGGATCCTGACAATGCTGTCGAGATCCACCTAGCTGTGTGAATGACAGCTGGCTCTGCCTATCTAGAGGCAGAGCCAGCTGTACCCGCCCCCTCCGTTCCTCCAATCAGCACTGGAGGATCGGAGAGGGGAGAATCCCTGCAGGGAGCTGTGACTGACCGTCATGGCTCTGTGCAGGGAGATGATCGAGACGTGAGCGAGCGACTGTATGCGTTCGCTCACTTCCCAATCTATTGAGCCAACGCGTCACAGTTTGTCACACGTCGGCTCGAACTATGAGGATGAGTGATTTTCACTCACCTCATAGTTCTCCTTTAAGTGCAACTGAAGTAAATGTTTTTCTTTTGGATAGAATGGGATTAGAACACCTGTCAGGTTTATATTGCTATCTGTGTCCCCGTTAGGGAAATTCACTTCTCTGTCTGTACCAGTATAAGAAAGTGAAAGAAAATCCCAAATTGTGGGTTGTCACGAGAACATGAATAAATTGAAGTCATCCAATGGGGACACTCATCCTGGTGACCATGTTGACTAACAACTATTTCCCTTACTTTCGAGGGATTTCCTCCCACATCCTGTTGTGGCTATCAGGCAGGAAGTGAAGGGGAAATCTCCCTAAGGTGACGCAGATGGCAAAAAAAAGCTGACGGGGTTATAACCCTTTCTTACTCTACTAAAAATACACTTGGCTTTAGTTCTACTTTAAATTTGAAGTCTAGTGTATACATTTAACCTCTTGTTCCCCCCCTTCCGATCAACATACAAACGAAAAACAAAATGATTTGACTAAACAATATAAGAAATACCTGTTTTGAGACCCAATGATGTCATTCACTGGGGCTGTCTGCTGCTCTATGCCCCGAGTTTGATTGGAGGGGCTGAAAGACTCCTATAAATGGCAACATTCAGCCTCAAATTGCTTTCAATTATATGAAATAACACATCCCCAGGATCCCTTTAGATATGCCGGCTTCTTCCTGCAGGCCAGTTGGTGCTACAGTCTTCAGCTGTGCAGTCTGCTGATTAGTTGCCGACATGTTTCAAAAGGCATGCCATGTATGTGTTCTTTCACATAAAGCTCGGGAACAAAGTGATTAATGGCAGGGAGCAGGCCAATGATAGTCAGGGGGAGATGTGTAGTATGGATGACGGAGGTCATTCAGAATAAAAATGAAGGTGGACTCAACATAGCTGCAACTTCAAAGGGTTTTTTTTGTGGAAATGTAAGTTTGCAGGGAATGCAGAGTAATCAAATTCAACACAGGAGAGGATTTGCTACAAGTGTGGGGAAGCTCAGCTTTAAGTATAAATCTAGGAGAAAATGCTGCTCTGAGGTCCCATGGTTGCCAATCACCTAACCTAAGAATTTGGTCATTAAATCTGCGCTGAAGGGAATGATTGGCCAATATGAACTGGATTTTCGCCTTTTAAAAGAAGAACTCTGGGAAGTTAAAAATGTGGAGTGGAGGAGAGCACAAAGTTACAGAGACTAGATCAAGCGCTTCTTAGACCATTATCTGTGGTCTAAAACTTCTGGTGAGGGCATAACTGAACGTTACGGGGAAGCACTGGATTTTGAATATAATAGAGCACAAGGTGGATTCACAAGAGATGCAAGAGTAATTCATTGTTTACACATGTGAAACAAGTTGGAGAAATAATTGAAAGGAAAATTACTGTTGATTATAGAACACTGGACTATATTGGGACATTTGGTTATAGATAAACTTTTTTATATATTTATGTATTTTTATTTTTTTCCTTTTTTCGCATTTGTGATTGTTTTTGGAGTATGTTCTATATTTAGAAGTGTAGAATAGAAGGGGTTAATACTTCACTGATTGAGCGGAATTTATGCTACTTTCAGCCGGTGTTTTAGTGGTATTTAAAAGGCGAACTATGGGGTTAGGGCTTTTCCCCATAGTTCTCCTTAGGGTAACGGGAGAACTATGGGAGACTTATCACTTACCTCATAGTTCTAGCCGGAGGGGGGCGGGTACAGCTGGCTCTGCCTCTAGATAGGCAAAGCCAGCTGTCAGTCACGCAGCTGGGCAGATCCAGACATAATTGTCGGGATCCGCTTCAGCTGCGGCGTCTCAGTATATGGCGAGCTGTAGCTCGCGGTATACTGAGCCTAGGGTGACGGGAGGACGCTAGTTTGTGTCCTCCCGTTACCCTAAGGAGAACTATGGGGAAAAGCCCTAACCCCATAGTTCTCCTTTAAGTCTCGCTGTTATCACGTGCAATACAAGTCAATTTACTTGTATTATATGTGAGGACACCGAGAGACATTCCACAGCTGGAGCAGAGGGGTCACTGCCGCAGGGTTGAGAATAGGGCGAGTATATCTTATTTTAGACACTAGACCAAAACGGGCATATAACGCTTGCAGTGCGGGGGTAGCCCCACTGCAAGAGTTGTTTTTAACTGCAGAGAGTTGTTCTTTTAACAGAGATTACATACTGGAGGGATCAGGTCACCTGGAGCTGGGGTATTTCAGAGGTTCTTTTAGAATAACTGAAGTTGAGGCATCAGGGCAGGCAGAAAGGCGAGTGCTGTTATTAAACTTTAGTTTTAATTTAATGCACTTGCTCATTTGTAAAAATGCAGCTCAAGCAGTGCACCACCATCTTACCTTATGAGACTCAATGGACAAAAGTGTTCAGATCCAAAATGTGATACGAGTTCCACCTGAAGAACAGGAATAAAAAAAACATGAGTTGATTACCTGATAACTCTGTTTACAGGAATTTTCCAGGACAGCATACTCCAAGACACCTTCGAACATCAATACCCTGCCACTCTCGTTCTCTAGCAGAGGCCGGGTTAGTGGCAAATGAAGGAATAAACACCTCCTGAGTCCTGTGGAAGGTGGACACCACCTTCGGCAAGAACGCCGGGTCTGGTCGCAAAATAATCCGATCTACCAGGATGGTGCAGTAGGGGTCGGTAATAGAAAATGCCTGAATCTCGCATCAAACTGCAATTTACTGGAATCACAGAAGAAATAGGCATAATTCATTGCACCTACAAGCCAGCATGGATTTGCTCTAGTGATAAGATCTGAAAGCAATGTTTGCCATGCATTAATCAGATGTATATACAACATTCAGTGAAGGTTGCTAACCTTTATGTATTTGATGAACATCTGAAGCAACGAGGAAAGAGAAAGAAAAACAAGTGTCAGTACAGAAACAAGATACATGCCACAAGCCATATCATAAAAGAATCAGCATTTAAATAGGTTATTGAACATCAAGCAGAGAGAATATATAAAGTTGTAGTATTTTGCTGCATTATTCTCAAATTTTCCAACTGGAATCGGGTTAAAAGATCACAATATGTACAGATGCCAATATGTACACAATCAGCAAAATAGTCAATCTGCAACATTTTCCTTTTCAAACATCTGAGAAAAGGTTGTGTGTGTGTGTGAAAAGGCAAACAGCAATACTAGGATTTATATCCTGTTGACATTGCTTTTGTGCAAATAACTAGGATAATAATCTGCATGGGTTTTCAGTAAATTCAAATACGCAGATGGATTAAGACACCACACCTCTGCATTTTCTGTGCGAGTTAAACCAGTCCCTTTTAACCAGTTTGTAGTGCATTGATCTTTCAATCTCTGTTTATGTGGTACCTGTGACGACATGGTCATCAGTTTATGGGTTATATGTGTATTGGTGTTGGGTTATGTTTAATTATGTTATACTGTGTAACCTGTTTATCAAAAGACGGGCAGCACCACCCTTCGTTAGCGCCCTTTGTACTCCAAGGAGCTCAGGACAATGACATTCTCCTGCGTCTGGCCAGACTCCACTTTGTGTATAAGCCAATTACTTTGTGCATAAAAGTTTGCACAGTGGCTCAATAAACCAGAGAGTTTGTTTCACCCTACACTTGGTCCCGACTAATGACTGGGGAAACTGGGAGCTAAAGATTAGCGGGTTGCAATATCTCCTGAGCAAGGAGGAATGCAGCGGCGGACATACTCATCTTGAGTACTGGGGTCCGTCACAGTACCGCCATATTAAGCAGAACTTGAAAGCCCAATTGCAGGCAAGAAATTGAGGGGAATCTCTGCAAAGGAGTTGAGAACAATAAAAAAAAAAAAGTGTGTTTAGAAGCTCTGTCAGTCAGTTTGGTTGTTTTTGCACTTTGCGTCTTCGTGGAGCTACACAAATGTAACACTCTACAGATATTCAAAAGCATTACCCTACTGACTACAGATGCATCTGGGACTATTGTACCCCTGCAGGAGGAAACTCTTTTAGCATGCACTGCAACACCCCCCAACACCACTGGCAATTTTTTCCTCTAAATCCTTATTTCAGCTCCCCCTTTTCTACCAGATCATACCAAAACATATCCTGGGACTAACTGATGCCTGGAACTTTACCCTGATCTTTAAAATACTAAGACACCTTTAGAAATGTTTAGTAATGACGATCTACAAACACATTCTTATAGATAATTGTCTATTTATTCTTTGCAAACCTTATTTTTCTTTTCCTCCCCATTCTTCTCACAGTGGCCATTTTTACTAAGGGCAGACTAACCAATTTCCCTTTACTTCCTGGAGATCTGGTACACGTGACCATGCACATCATCTCAGGGGAGGAAAATACCTTTCTTTGAAATCTCTCGATATTTTGCAGTTTACAGATGAGATTTCCCAGCAATGCTCTGCTGTTGTAACCTTCCCGGGAGGCATCCCATAGGCAGGGGCTACATCACTATAGCCTAAGATGACCAGGAAGTAGAAAAACAGTCACTAAGTAAAATTAAATATGTTTAACTAATGAATGTAAAATAATTTCATATCAGCATGCTGAAGTAATTTTTAGTGAAAAGGGGCAAAAGTCCACATTAAAACCTCACATCTGATCTGCATACCCATGCAAGTATACACCTATGCTATGCATAATCAGAACCCAGATCTGGAACCCATACACTTTCATAACTTGAATGTGTATGTAATACTCGGCAACTTAAATCTGATGACATTGTAGGTATTGGTTCCGTCGGATCAAGCAAATAAGAATGACCCTACTAATAAGAATTCTTTTATGTTTAGTATATTGAAAGTGTCTGCATTTCCCACAGTAACTACATTTTGCTGGTTTTAGCTCTGAAATTTGCTAGAGATGACAGATTGTGTCCGGAAACAACTGCAGCTTTCACTTCCACCATTTACTATAATGAGCCAATGATTGGTTTTTTACAGCTACAAGTGAAACATGAAAATATTTGTATCCTCTTCTAGAATATAAAAACTGAACACATTCTGGTAAAAGAATTGCTCAATTAGCTGAACTAATTAGAGGAAATGCAAATTGGAATCACAAAGGGAAACGGTATAAAGCCCGTGCATTAAATATGAGGATCGTAAACTTGGCTCATATACAGACTGAGTATGGTGTAATCAGCAGATAAGCAAATACCTTGCCAGGTATTTTATATGACTCCAGACGCTGGACTTTCCAGCATTCTACTGAAGTATTTCCTCCACCCATTATCTCCATCCACAAAGAGGGCAAAGATCTTCTGCAATTGACAGCCAGTATGTTTTTTTTATTATTCACATATTATAAATACTTTATTTGAATCTACAAAAGCAGTAATTAATGATCTACTGTATTTATAAATGATTTGGTCCCAGTAAATTGAAAAGAAACACTATCCTATTAGGAACTGTACTTACTAGTACTCGCCGATACCGGACGTCCCATTAATGACTCACCACCTGGCCTGATTAGCCGGGAAGCAGGGCGGCATGTCAAGATACGCCACCCGACTTCCCAATTAGCAGTGAATCCGTCCCCATGCTTCTCGTCACTCGCTGGATCGTGTGTGTGTGTCCCCCCCCCGGGACACGCTGGTCTCCCCGTAACAATCTGAGAGAGAGATTCAGCAGCTTCCAGCCGCTGATCTCTGGACCCTGAAGTGTGATGTGTATTACATCACTTCCGGAGCAGATCTCTGCTTCTTCAGCTTCTTTGGGGTCCCCATGTGACATTAGGGGTGATGTCTCCATGATGTCTCCATAATAAAGAGGACCTGTCACACCTTGACATTACATAGGGTGCTTGTTAGCCTCCTATCCCTAGTGTGACAGAGCTCACCCATCCTACTGTATCAGGACAAAAAGGAACAGGACAGGACTACAGGAACCTCCCACTCTTCTCCAAATAGGAGACATTCAAAAACATTTTTAAAATAGATGAGATGGATCAACATGGTTGGTTAAAAAAAATATGAATCTTTTATTATTGTGCTACCAAGGACAATGGTGGTGTAGTTCCGTGGTCATTCTTCTCTTTCCTAAATCTAAAGGGAAGAATCGGGACAGTGTGTTATCTTGTGGCAGATAATTACAACCTCTTTTCTGTAGGGAACCCATTTATTTTGCTTAGTATTTAGAAAAGCACAGTTTCACTTTAAAGTGTGCATCTAAACCCAAAAACAAAAATTGAATAAACAGTACATTTTAAAGTTGAACTTCATGAAACACTGGCTTAAAAGGAAGCAGCAGAAAGTTGAAGTTACAGGGCCGTAAGACTGTAAAACTGGTTAAACTATCCATTTTCCTTGTCTAGTCACTTTTAGATACTTTTTTTCACAACACAGTATCAGCATTTCAACAGAAGTCAAAAAGGAAGAGAGTCTAAAAATAAAGTGAATGCAAAATACTACAACTTTACCAGGCCGGCAACAGATCAGTTTTACAAATTGGAAAGAGATTTACCAGTTTTAAAGACAATACACCTACACATCACTTTAGGATTTCTACTAGCAATAAGAAAGAGAAAATTAAATTGTAGGGAATTAGCCTTAAAACTGTCCATGTAAAGTGCAGCAGATATGTGCACATCGATGAAAAGACAGGTAATGTGAAGTTGTATATACTGTGTGAAGTTCAAAGTGCATATTAAAACACCAAAATAGCTGTCAGAACACATGAGAGACTTCTATCACAGAAAAAAGGATTTTGCATATACATTTTTTTTTCTTTTTTGGCCCTAAGCAAAAAGCAGTCAGTCACTCTTCAGTTTGTAAATGGAATGGAAAAGGAATGCAAGTGCCCTAGGATGTATGTGCTGTGCATGTGTAAAACAGAGGGGCTTATACAAGAGTTGACAGGCTGACCAAGTTTGCTATACTGAAAAAACCACACTACTGAATAAAAATTCTGTTAAAGTTTTAAAAAAGCTTTTAAATAAGAACTGCGACAAGTGCAGTCTAAAAACATAGCTTACTGATGACAAGAATATTTGAAATTTTTGAAATCACTGAAATCACTACATGGTAAAAGGGCTGCAGAAATGAAGGCTAATTCCCTAGAACACAGCAGAATGGTACAAGCAGCGTTTGCAGCTTTTCCCCAGAGAGCAAGAAAGACAACCAGAGAGAAGCAGAAAGTAATTCCCAGTAGAATTTACACATAACAATGCCAATTATAAAGCAAGTTATACAATTTACATTACGGAGATTACTTTAGTTTACGTCTTCCCTTTATAAGCTACTAACTGTAACATGAGAGAATTATTCTTTAAACATTTAAAGTGAACTGGTCACATGGATCCCCACAAATCACATCTTGTGAAGTTCAGACAACGTTTACTATAGAAGGAAATATAGCATTTTGTACATGAATGAATGATGTGTGGAAACATGAGGTGTTAATGATGATGCCATTAAACTGTTAACATAAAAGGTCATATTGTACCCATCGGTTAAAAAAAAAATATATATATCTGGGAAGCAACTTGATATATGCAACACAACTGCTTTCTTTTCCACTGTTTGAGGGCCCAGTCACACCATCAAGAGTGCATTCCAGTGCGTTCAGCCTCTGGAACGCAACCCGGCTGGCTCACTTTGTTTTGGTGGTAGGAGGGGGCATGGCGGTGCATTGAACTCAATGGCACGGAGGCCACGCACCCCACCCTCGGTGCGATCGCCTACACCCAAAACGCATGGCACATATAGTGCCTGCGTTCCGGTCCAGTGTTATCTGCAAAAAATGCAAAGTTAGCCGGCTGTGCTGCGTTCGAGGCCGAACGCACTCTTGATGGTGTGACAGGGCCCTTATACCTCAATCTGTAATAACCTAAAGTGTATCTAAGCCTTGGTTTACAGATTTATGATTTAGGGCTCAAAGCACTCGCTCAATACTAGCCCTCCCACTGTATCCTACAGTGGCAGTTCACACTTGAGCGCGGTGCTACCACTTGCAAAGAAGTCCAGAAGCGTAAAAAAGCCCAAGCTCAGGTGTGGACCTAGGCTATATATTTATGTTTCAGCTAAAGTAGGGAATGGTTTTAAATTCTTTTTTGTTTTCATTGTTGTGACTGTTAGGATGCGTTACTCGTTCTGTATGCTGATGGCCATTGTTGTGAAGACTTCCTTCCCTTTGGAGATATCGCCTCTTATATTATGTAACAAGGAGTGAAGGAAAAATCTCCCTAAAAGGAACTGGGGAGAAAAAACACAAAAACTTTTGGCTTTACATATAATTTTTGTCTGAAACAAAGGATCAACATGTCTTCTATTTATAGACCCTGCATAACAAAATCCGATGCTCCCGGGTTTTGCAGTCCAGGAACACCAATACTGGAGTCAATACTTGTTATGCTATAAAAGATTTGTCTTTTTGTGGCCAAGTCAACATTTCATATAATATTTTCATGACTTTGTTGAATTAACAGATTCTGGTGTAGAAGGCTAAACAAGCAATAAAAGAAAAAAATGGGAGGTTGACAGCCAACCGATTAGTATGTTACATATGCAGAAGCATTACACACTTGGAATAACTTCAGACACAAAATAGGAAATTAGCAGCCATCCAAACAGACTCCTCAACATCGCTTGCTTTACAGGCAATTTTAAAGTGTTAGTTCATCCAAAATGGATATTTCAGTTATGGATAAACTTGAGTGGACACTTACTGTTTGTTTTTGTTTTTATCACCGTCAGGGATTAGAGTACAAAATCTCTACTCCAGAGCTTCCAGTACTGCCATCTAACATAACCCTACTGCTTACCTACCAATCATCACTATTCAGATTGAATTATCTACAATGCGGAAAAAAAAAAAAGAATGGAAGAATGGATTCCGTTATAACGGCTATGCTATGGCAGATAGTTTGAGTCTGTGTGGAGATCTCATCACTGAAGCCCCCATAAAAATATGAGTTACTGCTGAGTAATAAAACGACCTGCCCTCTGTGTTACCATCTCATCACCTCACACCTGTCACTTACTAAAACCACTACATTTCAGATTATAGATTGCACAACAACATAAGCGATAGTTAAAGTTGATTTTAAAAATATTTAAACATGATCAGTTCACTTTAGAATTTCACGGTTTCAACATTTTTTGCTTTTAAAAAAAAATAAAAATAAATAACACCCACCAAAAAATACAAATCGTAAACTCTGTCATTAATATAAATTAAATCAATTCAACATAAAGCCTGAGTTTCACAGTACTAATGGAAATGAGGAAAATCCAGTATTACCTTAACATATTTAGCATACATCTGCTCATCCAATGGAAAGCTCTGTACTGTCCTCTCATCTCTTGCATGGAAAGTACCCAGCTTCACCCACTTATTGGTGGGATACCTGTAGAGCAGAAAGTTTCCCATTTTACAAACCTCTATTACAAAGCTTATGTCTTCCTCTGAAACAAGGAAGAAAAAAAAAGCCTTTGGATGGTGGTCAGCAATGCATGCGCAATCTGGCTGACAAATGGATGTTCACATCCAGTAAATAAAGAGGTTTGGTCTATAGAAAAGAAAGCACTAGGACATCTCAGGGGAAGAAAAAACAACCAGGATTGGTCCAACATGGTTGATTACTCTTCCCCGAGAGAATGCTCAGGGTACAAGATGTCTAACAGGGTTGGCAATAGTGTAAAGGCATAAGATATCTGATCGGACCACAACTAGAGAAATACGACAAATGATCTCCTAGTTCTAAAGACACCTCTAGACAAGTGCTAGAAATCAAATCGTAGTTTTTAGAAACCATTGTTTAGGAGGTTAACAGTAAAGTTGTAAGACTTTCTCTGCCCCTGCTTTCCTAGAACAGTACCCTAGATGGCTGACTGGGCGAACCAGTTTCTCCATCCTGCCATTACAAAATTAGGTAAAAAGAAAATTCACCTGCTTCAGCTCTACTGGCAATTACATAGTTGCATAGTATTTGAGGTTGAATAAAGACACAGGCCCATCGACTTCAACATTTGTTTGTCTGTGCGTGATTGTGCATGTGTACACGAGTCCCTGTGTGACCTTGTTTTAAGAGTACCTGTACCCCTGTATGTTACGGTCTCTGAGGAAGTCATCTAAATGCTGATTCAATACTCTCAGCTGATACCACTTCTGGTGGCAGCGAGTTCCAGACTTATATCGCTCTAACTGGAAAAAAAAGCCCCTGCGCCCCTTGTGGTTAAATCTTTTCACCACCAGTTTTAGGCGGTGGCCTCTAGTCCTTGTTATGGAGTTTACTGCAAAAGGTTTATTGCTGATGTTGCCATCACCACTAAACATTTTGAACATCAAAATCATGTCCCCTCTTAATTGCCTCACTTCCAGTGTGAACAAGTTTAAATGTAGTAACCTTGTCTCATAGCAAATGTAGTAACCTTGTCTCATAGTTTAGGTGCTCCAGCCCCTTAATTAGTTTGGTTGCCCTTCTCTGGACTCTCTCCAGCTCAATGACATCTTTTCTGTGGATTGGTGACCAAAATTGGACCACATACTCCAGATGAGGTCGAACCAATGATCTATAAAAGGTGGCACAATTATAGACTTGTCTCTACAGTACATTCCCTTTTTAATACAAGACAGTACTCTGCTTGCTTTGTTTGCCGCAGCCTGGCATCGCATGCTATTATTCAATCTGTGGTCTACTATGACCCCCAGATTTTTTTCCATTGCTGACTTCCCTAGTGGAGTACCCATTAATATGTATTCTGCATGCCGTTTGTAACTCCAAAATGCATTACTTTATATTTTTAAACATTAATCCTCATCTGCCATGTAGTTGCCCACTGCCCTATTTTATACAGGTCCCTCTGCAATTGAAAGTCCAGGGATTGCTGGTGCTCAACATGGCTTCCATTCCCCTCACTCAATGTGCAAAAGAAGATAAATGTTGTGGCACACAGCTTAAAAGTGCCAAGGCTTTCCTACAAGTAAAACTACATCATAGCTCTACGCTACGCTTAAGACACGGAAATGGCTGCAACCCGCTAGCGTTTACGATGTGTGCCATTTTGTAGTTTTACTTAAAAATTATTGGGACAACAGAGGCCAAGTATCAATTCACTCATGCACCAATTGTTTTAATGCTTAATTTAAAATAACCCTAAGCTTAAAAAAAAAAAAAAAAGGACATTACAGGGCTTAGAGTAACAACTAGATTTCAACCTGTTACTTCTCTTAAAAAGTCAGGTCTATTCTTGGAGAGCAGTAACGTGACCCTATACTCTAAGATATGCTAATAATTAGAGCTTGGTACCTGTCACTAATGGAAACTAGAAAATCCCTTGGTGTGGAAGAGAAGAGTTCATAGTTGGCAATGTCCAGCTGCTTCACTTGGATTGGTTCACAAAGTTCAATCACAAACCTGAAAAGAATTCAAATTATTAAATGTAATACATTACTTGTATGTACAACACAAAATGTATAAAAGCTAGGGATGCACCGATACCACTTTAAGGCCGAGTACCAATACTTTTTTCAAGTACTCGCCGATACCAATTACCGATACTTTTTCTTAAAGGGACAGGTCACATTTTTTCTAAAGCAATACAAAATCATGATTTTAGGTCAGTTTCTTAATATTATGAAGAACATGAACACTCTGTAGTGTGGCACAGCTATATCCAATTCTGCATACCTGGCTTTATATTATAAAAACTTTATAATATAAAGCCAGGTATGCAGAATTGGATACGGCTGTTCCACACTATACAATAATACACTGTTCTTGAGTCTGGACATGTGATACTCTATTTTCCCCACTAGGGGGATACAAGCCTTAGTTAGCAATGGCATGATAAATATTAATTTCATCATTCAATGTCGTTTTTTAAATATTATAACATTTATAATATTAAAAAAAAGACAAATGCAAATACTCTGTATCGCCGCCGATACCGATGCTTGTATCGGTAACGGTGCATCCCTAATAAAATACACAATTATAAAATACTAAAATAAAATACTTCAGTTATGCAATATACATTTTAGATCCACATTCTCATTAAAGATCTGAAGTAAAGTACTTCTTGAAAATTGAATATAGTATAAGGCTACGTAAATGGATAAACACCACACACACTGAAAATGTATAAACAAGATATATATGCAAACATATACAAAAAATAAATAATAATATACATTTAAAATGAAAATGGGTTAACTCACCAAACCTTTGTGCTACATGGGTTTAACATATACAGGTCCATATTCTCTATAAGTATTGCAGATGTGCTCTAGAAGAAAAACGAGAAATTGGCATATTAGAGAACACAAAAAAAATATATTACACACACACACAAACATTTTTCTTTTCAGTACTCGCTGATACTGAATACCGGAAGTCCCATTAAGGAAGCCAGGCGACGTGTAACGACTCGCCACCCGGCTTCCAGATTAACAAGGAAGTCGTCCCATGCTTCTCGTCATTATGTGATGAGAAAGCATGGAGCCGGCTTGCTG